GGCTGCCGCGTCTCGATGGCGTAGAAGAGCTTGGGCGAGCTGTCCTCGCGGTCCAGGAAGGCCAGGAAGTCGCTGTAGAGCAGCCGGCCCTGCGCGTCGGCCGCCAGCACGCGGTCCCCGGGGCTCAGGTCCTTCACCAGCTTGGTGCCGCCGTGCTCCAGGTGCACCGTGGCCGAGCCAGGGAAGCAGCCCCCGGACTTGGCTGCCACCGAGTTCTCTGTGCAAGGAGAGAGGCACAGCAGGGTTAGCACCGGGCTGCCTGCCTGGTCCCAGCCGCAGTGATGGCAAGAAATTTCTCTGCCCTTCCCGCTGGCGCAGCTCCATCCCCCCGTCAAACGATGGCCATGGCCTGCCCGCATCAAGGAACCAGACAAAATGGCTCAGCTATTCTAGAGCTGTTCCGGATTAACTCATCAGTCAGCTCCCATTTGCCCTGTATCTGCCACATGGCACTAAATTAACTCACAGGGGAAGTGGAAAAGTTGTGCAGGAACGAGGCTGCACCTCCCTCGGGAGAACTGCCTAAGGCAGCCTGCACGGTGGTTACTTCAACCCACGCCATCTTCCCGCTTCCTATAAAAGCATCTCCTGCACTTCTCCCATCCCGCTCGAAGAAATGCCTCCACTCCCTGCCCTGTATCTGGGGGCATCCTTGTGATTGCATGGGACCTGAGCATCCTTTAGCACAGAGTGCCAACTTTCTGGAGCTCCTCAGACTTGGGACACTAAACCGCATAGCTCCTAAGACTCATAAGGCCACAAGACTTCCATAGTCTAAATCTCTTGTATGTTTCCTATGGAAACACAGCCTGTTCACATGTGTTCTGATTAGAAAGAGCCATTTCCTAGAGTGGCTTCTGGCTTCCCCTAGTGAATCCCGCTTATTCCCTTTTCCTCGTTTTTCTGCCTGTCAGGTTACAGCCCATGGTATTTCACAGCATCACGTGTCTTTGCTACAGTCACTAGCAGTGCTGGTCCCTGGTCTTCGCTCGGCATCTCCCGGTCCCTCCGCTTGCCAGTTTAGGGCCCTGGCAATTTATCTCCTCAAGGTAGTCAGATTTTATATTTTGCCTCTGTGGCTGGTCCTGCAGCTATTATGATTTAAATAAACACTTGGAGTGTCTCCTAATGACTTTCTCAGGAAGGACAGGAAGGGCGAAAATTAGAATGTTATTGATTTGCTAACGACTTTATCACTTCTCCCGCAGAACTGAAACAGCCAGATCTTCCCGGCCTCTTCGGGGAGGACATGGCAACAAACAAGCTATGTGCTTTAAGCAGAGCCCTTCGCTAGCAAACTACACCTTCGGACAAGGCCCAAGCAAAGGTCTGGCTTGAGCTTTGTTTGCATATTCAGGGCCTTGATGAATAGATCTAGTAGTGTAGCAGCTCTACAAACATGCCAGTGAATTGGCAGAGGTGTGAAAATCTGCTGCTTTGAGCAGTGCTTGTTTGGGTTCTCTAATTAAAATCCAATAAAGGATCAGCATTGTCATTCTGATTCATGTAATAAATGCAGACACTCTTGGAAGAGAGGACACTTCCATTTTTTTCCCAGCTTCTTCGCCCCCCTTTTCTCCCCCTCCCTATTTGTTCAGGTGCAGAAACCCTATGTGCCAATTCACACACATACTCTCCAAAAAACCCAGGACCTTCCAAGCACTATTTGCACAGCAGAGTCACTTTTCCAAGGCACTCAAGATGTGTATTTGAATTTTAAATGTAGAAGCTTGCTCTAAATACTTGCTGTAGCGCATTATCAATGTCCCTTTTACCACCCCTGCCTCTCCCTCCTCTGTCCCGATGACAATAATTCAGGCCTTGGGAGAACTCTTCTTTGCATTCCAGTCTCCGGGATCATACTTTTTGCAAATAGAGATCTAGATAAAGAATCTTCCTGCCTGGAATTATAGGGTTTAATCTTCTCATAAGATGCTCTGTCATGAAACGAGTGTTGGCCAATTTGAAATCAGGCTGAGCCGGGGGAATTTGAGCCTGCTCTCTTGAAGCCCGTCTGGTACAGTCACACGACCCTGCCTGACACGCACTAAATATTACCCCCGAAGTCCGTGTGTGTGGAATTTCAATGAGTAGATTGGAATTACTCCTCTCCTGTGCAAGACACATGGAGCTGGATTATGTTGTCCACCCGCAAGGAGATTATTGTGCATCGCAATCAGACACCTTGAGCTAAAGCCCGGCCTCGGTATTGAAAGGGATGTTTGGTGTCACCGCAAGTTTGTCGCCTTTGCAGAAGCCTCCCTTGGGGTTGGGAAGGACGGGGAATATTTAATAAAAGCGGCATTGGGACCCTAGGATAAAGTCAATGGGAAGCAAAAGAGGTGCCACTTTGGGAGAGCACTGGATATCTCCAGGCTAGACTCAGGGAAAGGAAGGGAAGGGAAGGGAAGGGAAGGGAAGGGAAGGGA